GATGCACTTTGTGACAGCAGCTTAATACATTTCGTTCCACATGTCCGGACTCATTCGTAGGTTTGTGTCAGGCAAGTATATACACTCACGTGGCCGATGCTCCTCGTGGACGACGTTTTCCCAGGCTGCGGGGCGTTGCGACGAAAGGGCATAAGTTAGAAAAAAAAAAGTTTATTGGCTACAGTCCAAAACACCCTGACTTGTTTCTTTGTATTTTCTTTTTTTTTCTTCAGCCCCGTGCGCACAAACGTTACAAGCGTCGACAGCGAAATAAACGTGCAATTGATAGGAGCAGGATAAATGCGCCGGAACTCCAAGCCATCTGTGAAAAGTCAAGGGTAAACCCCGTGGCGGGTAATCGTATCGCCCGTACGTAGACGTTCGAAGAGAGCGAAAGTACAAAAGCGAGAGTTACATTAACTATACGAGTAATTAGCGCCGCGAGCATATCGCACGAGCGAGTTTCGAGGAAATTTTGCAGGTTCGAAAACTCGAGCCATTGGGATTGCCACCTCAGGGAATTTGTGAAATCTTTAAGACAACTGTACCTGCATGCAAGGGATGGGAATCACGCTTATTACCCTTTCACACGGGGTCAATTTTCCGTGGCTTTTTATTCCGTTTTTATCATCGTCCCGTATCTCCATTGAGCGCGAAAATTGGGGCGCGCCACTGTCGACGTAAGGAAATGGAATTTTCACACCTGAATCCTCTTAGACGAAAGGGATGGTTAAGTTTGTGCGTTTCTCGTCCTCAACCCTAAAAAGGTTTAGTCACGTTCGGTTAAGCATCGATCGCTCACCAAAGGGAGAGTCTATACGTATTTTTGCTTCTCCACGTGCTCGCAGGCTTTCACAAGGAGGCCTTTACTATAGTCCCTTAAGAGTCCTGGATATACATACCCTATATATCATTTGCATACCGTACCTTAAGCCATCTTGTGATTCACGTGGGACATGAAACCTAAAGTTATGAGGTTGATACCTAACCTTACCCCATTGTATAGTTTTTCACGCATTTACCACGATTACACACTCGTATTATCCGGGCTGATGATTTTTCAAGGTTTGTCATAAAGAACATATGTAACTATGAAAAAAATAAAAATCAGAGACAGAAGTACTGAAGTCGATTGCAGTTGAAACCAAGAAGCGGAAATGGAAGTTACATTCGAGTCACTTGCACACCGATCAGAAAATCCTGATCGATCTTACGTAAAAATTCGTAAGACGGTTTTTGCGTTTTTCTCAGCTCCTCTTGGAGACAGAGCGAAGTAGGCCTTAATTTGGAATCAACGGTATTCCTTGATTATTTCATTTGTTCGACTGGCTATTAATTTTAAACGGTTTGACCGATTTTAATTTCACTATCGCAAAACTAGCGTCAGATTCGTATATCAGGGTCAAAATACATAGGGCACGGATGTCAAAAGTAAGCCAAGTCTGACAACTACACCGTCTCCTAAATCTTACTATTCTAAAATGGAAATTTCTCACGAGCATCTAGAAGATAACGATTGCGATCCAGCTGCCTCCCAGCATCCGACGTACCTCCGCGTCGAAGGACTTGCATTACCGGCGCAAAAGGAGTTCTTCTCGAGCAACCTCTCGCACTACCAGCAGCGCCAGTAGCGAGCAGCAACACAGTACCTGCTAAAAGGCTTATCGAGCGCTTTTAGAAGCGGCTAAGAATAAGGAAGAAAGAATAAGCCTGGGTTTTTCGGTGAATTAACAAGAGACGCCTATTGCGCTGGGACGATGGAGTAAAAGTGTACTTACCATTGTTGCACTGGACTGGAGTACCTACATTTGCGTTGGGTTATGAGAATGTTCTCTGCGATCCACCCGAAAGGGTGCAGCATGTACGTAGGTACTCACTTTTCTCTCTCTCCCCGATTCACAGTAGCAACTTTTCTACAGAGCGCAGTGCAACGTCGTTACGCATAAAAGAGAAATCCATTAACCAGCAGTGTGTAACCCGGAACGTCTATCGCGCTGTTTCCTGCATACGAAAAGTGCCTGCTGTACGTGAGTCAAGGGATTGTTGTAATGGGCGGGTGGGCGGTGGGGGGCTGATCGAAGTTTAAATTGACAAGGCTTTTCACATCGAGCGAAGATTACTTACAGCCAGGACAGGGACGACCTTTCATCTCCTAGGGGAATTTCACGTGGTCATACTCAGAGTTCTATGACTGTATGAATGCAAACAGACTACAATTGCTAAGCGACTTTACTCATTGTCCGGTCTCGTCAGCGAGGTTAGGGTCGGTATGAACTGTCGTATGTCTCTTAATTGAATTTTAATACTGAGAGACATGGAGAACTCAAGCTTTTTATTTCCCGAATTAACAGTTTCGTTCGTATATAATGGACTTGGGTACTTTTTGACTCGATGATGTTTTAATCGTTAACAATTATTATTTCATTTGCCCTTTCAACTATTTTCGGAATTAATGCATCGGGTATCTACTTTATTTCTAATTCTTAATGATCTTGTTTATTGTCACGTGTACGAGTTTGCACGTCAGGTCGATGGAAATTAAATTGAGGCTGATACCTCAGAGACGATTATGAAATTTTGATAATATTAAATAGCCGATCGATCTGCTCTATATACGTGCTATGCTTATATATGTTTAATGTGGGTCAGATTTCGCGATTGAATTGGTGACGTGGCTTTAGACACTTCTTGACGTACGTAGATCCGTGGGGCTAGCCGTGGGCTTTGATTACGATAGAAAAGTGGCACTTTCGATTCCCCTACGATTTTGTACGATCCTACCTGTCCAAGTGGCAGGTTCCTTGACATCTTGATCCGTTGAGCTACTCCCCCAGCGCGCAAACGTCCAATAATTTCCTTCGTGTCACGGCGTCCGTCGGGTTTTGCGGGCCCCAATTATTTTTTAGCGTACGTGAGAATCTACTGTTTTTCTTCCAGTTTTATTCTTCCTTGTCTTTTTATATTGCTGGTATCTACTCGCTTTTTTTTTTAATATTTAACACGTCGCGACGCTGTAGGCAATCCATGATAATCTTTTTTGTGACCTTCGCAAAATAACGACGTCGATTCTCTTTCTTTCAACGACTGGTACCACGGAACGGGACGGCAAGTGTGGTTTGACGATCGAACGTATTTCGATCAATTTCATATCCCTTCTAATGTACCGCGAAATTCCCTCATCGCTACCCACAGGGATGCGTGGGACGTGTGCTGCGAAAAGCTTGCAGAAGAGACGCACCCTCGATACTTTGAAACTTTTTGTTACTCTTAGTTATTGTCAGCAGACAGTAACTTATTTCGACAACTTCGCCAGAAAGTTACCCCAATACTTATTGATTATGTCCTTTATCTACATCGGGCGACCCAATTCAGTATACGTCGGTGTGCCAGTGTGGATGTCATTTATTAATTTCATTTATCGAACGAATCGGCAGGAATTCCACATTGAGATTGAGAAGAAAATGTATTTTTACAAAAGCTTTTATTTCTGTCACATATCGAGAAAAATTTAACAATTTTATACCGACCGAAGACGCTTTCGATTTATATCTACATACAGTACTTACTACATATACAGCTAGGGATGACAGTGTAATTGATTTGGCATTGCTGAGATAAAAAAAATTTAAAAAAAAATATATTAGTTTTCTCACATTAGTTTTTAATTCAACATAAAAAGCCTTCGATCAGCTGATTTTCTAATAGCCGTTATAGCGTCGCCCGAATGTGTCGGTAAAACAGAGAGGGTATATGTATATGAATTTGTAAGGTGCCTACATATCCCGGTGGCATCCATTTAAATAATAGTGCGACACTTTCGTTAACCGTACCAGGTGCACGTGGCGTTGGGATATTGTTACTTTCGAATTAAGAGGATTAATGAAATTGCTATGCAAGCGCAAGCGGAGGACAGAGTGGTGTATGTAGATAGGAGGAGCAGGAAAGTGGGGAAGCAGCAGCGAAAGAGGAAGTGGAAGAGGTAGAGGGAAAATCTATGTCGTGTATTTTCCAATAATAGAGCCCATGGGTATGCTAGAACATTCTGCCTTTGACTAACGGCATTAAATAAATATTAGCAGACGCGCCAGCAATACCATTGGCCTCAGATATTATTCAATGTTACTTCGTATATTAAATAATTTCCTGCGCTGCGACCAAACCGCGATATGGTATGCAATTTCTAATCGGATTATTTGGTCTGCAGTATTAAATATGATCTGGTAATTCTGCGAACTGTCTACGTCTGTCGTATTGAATCGATAACGATAATCATTTTGCATCAATGTTACATCTCGAATTTGATTGCTGTGGAATTGACGCATACTCAAAGACTTATTCCGTATGGGTAATCCTCACTGTCAGTACTGCAAATATGGTTACCCCGTGCTATTGGATGCCAATTAAAAAGTGACACAAGGATACTCGTAGTACTGGCAGTCAATTTTTTAAAGTACTTTATATATCCTGACATTTAACACCGGACTGATTGTACATGTACTGTTGAACATCGAAAATGAAACTTCGGGGTATCACAAGCGACCCTTGTTGGGAGAATCAGCGTACGGTTCGATGAATTATTATTGGTTAAGCACACTTTGTGCTTTTAGCGCCATATTGATATTCGATTTTCTTTTTAGATGTTATTACAAGGATTGGCTAAAAGTGATTGTCAATATTGCTTGAAATTCTATGCAGTTTCAATATCTGCATCTTATCGCATGTAAATTAAGATTAATTTTGGAGTAAATAGAAATACCTTGTTAGATGAAAGTTCCGTCATGTTGAAATTCCCGTGTACCTAGGCTCTGTGCTAAATTGGGATACTGCATTAATGTTGACGTTGGGAAGAAGTAAATTCTATGGGGAACAATGTGTATTAGTTTGTTTTAATTAAGATTGGTACACATATAGTTGCATTTTTTTTAGATATAGATAGATTTTTTTTCTATGTTTTATATATTCATGTTATATATATATTTGTACAAATAAACAAGTCCAGAAAAAATCAAAGCGTCGAGCGTTTATTGAAAACGAATTGCTATGTACAAACGTATTAAATACACGTGAACATTTATACAGGGGTACAATAGCCAATATGCCGTCGATAACAATAGCTAACTATCAACACAACACTGTACTTATTTACAACCCATTTCACGGTATATTTGCTTACGCAAATTGCTAACACCGTACGTAGGTATAGACGTGCCGAAGAGGGACACAGCGATTTGTCTAAACTGGATTTGGAGGTACGCGAGATTAGATTACTATTGATATAAATAAATAAAAATGTTTAACTACAGGTATACACGAGAACGTATTCGTCGATCGTACTTCGAGCGAAATTCGTATTTTTTCCTACAATAGCAAATTCCTTGCGAAGAGCGTTTACTATAGCCGGACAAGATATTCTATTGAATTTTCCTCTTCATTCTTTAGCTCAGAATGATCTGTCTATACATGCGTTTGCGATACGGTAGGCCACCAGTGCGACGGGACTTTTAGTTTGACCTTTGCTCTTTCATCTCATCTCCCCGCGTTCCCTTTCATTCTTTTCTTCTTCTGATCTCTCACGCACACGACGCACAAAATACCTTTCGGTGATTTATCGTCTTACTAAAGGACTACGACCAAGGCTACGACTCTACTTTCTTCATCACGATTGTTTTCCTACTTTTCTACCCATTCTTACCTCACTCATACCATAGTTTTCCTTTGGTACTTATATATGGCTCCTCTTTCAAATACCAGCCTCTCGATACGCATCAGGGGTCTTTTTCTTTTTTTTAAAAAAACTCATACGTGTATTAGACGATGTACTATTTTTCGTGTTCAGTTTCACTTTCTACCAGTGATGATGGCAGTTCGAATTTATGTCGTTCACGTGGAAATCGAAGACCCTCAGAGAAATCGGCCAGCCTGATACCTTGAAAAAAAATAAAAATAAAAAAATAGAACAAGCGAAAGTACTTCCAGCCCCTGGCGATAACGACGATTAGGTCCTGTGACTTTTGTGGGAAGCCTTTTTTTTCCTTTGTTATTTTTACTTCTTCTCACTGGTAATTACAAATTGTACAAAGTGCCTGGGGACTCGACACCGGAGCACCTTGTTCCCACGGCGTGTTTGACGTACCTATTACAATAACATTATCGACAATCGTGCAATTTGAGTTAACTAAGAGAGAATTGTCCGTTCGATTTCTCTCTCTCTCGCACTTTTTCTATTCCCTTACTTTTTCTTCATTTCTTAAATGATCCACTCTTGCTCACTAACCAGGAGTGCTGCCACAGTACCAATATGATATTTTCACACCGGATATGTACTCTGAACGTTGATCGATGTGGCAGCTGACCGCGCGCAATCGGATCCACTCTCGACGAATTATCGGACGAGGGGTAGTAACAGGGTAGGGTTAGGTACGAAGTGCTTGACGGAAATTTCTCCACCCACGGGAAACACTTTTTCCTCCTGAAAGCACTATCATTGAACCTGGATATGTACGAGGATCCCACGAGGGAGATTTATCCCGTGCGTCTGGGTATCGGGCATTTATTTCAGGCAGTAAGGCGGGCATGTAGGCAGGCAAGTAGGGTAGGTACCTAAGTAGGTAGACAGGAAAGCTAGATAAAAGAATACCTACCTGTCTGACAATTACGCGCTAAACTAAATCTCTCGAATGTTATACCCAGTAGCCCCCGGCCATTCTCGAAATGAAGATTCACGATTAGTGCCAAAGAATTCCTAGTAGGGAACTTCCATTTCGAGAAGAAAGCGGTCCGTTCGATCTTCGCTATCGCATACGCTCTTTTTTTATATCTCTCCCTTTTCGTGCACCCGTAAAAAATAAATCGACTTGGATATGTATATACAATTCGCAATTCTTAAAACTGTAATATCGTCTATACTGCCATCAAGGTAATTCCATACTATAGATAATTTTTTTTTCTTTTTCATCTCCTCCTGCACTACCTACTATTAAATTCTCTTTTATGACTCTTCGTAATCCTGATTTGTCAGCCCTCTGTTGCAGCGTGCACAGATAATACTTTTAATGAGGTGCATTACTTTTTCACTTTTTTTTTTTTTTTTTCAAGGGGGGAAATTTTTACGTGCATTCATTTCTGACGTTAAGAACAATACTTAATGCTAAGGGGGAAAGTAATGTAAAGTAATCTGTGCATTAGCGGCTTATTCGATACGTCGTTCCATATGTCGCGAAAACTGAAGCGAATAGCTTCGTTACAAAAATTTAAGCCTTATACCACGTAAACTCTAGATAGATGATAATATCAGTTATCTCTCGTATTCACATTCTCCTTCTTTACCTGCTAATGATTTATTACTGCAACCTCTATGGTATTGTCAAATATTCATGCACTTTCGGCTAAGCGCATTTCACAAGCTTACGCAGCTAGACGAATGTAACTTTTCTCTGCCGTCAGGAACGTGTCGCTTCGTAGTAATCTGTCACTTTTTTTTTTGCTTTGTTTTTTCATCTCACAATTCTTCTATATACGTTATACATTGTTAACCGTGCCCGTGTCAGACGAGATACGATTCCGTACGAACTGTAGTTGACTGAAGTGACAAATTTAGTAGAAAAAAATTAATGCTCCAATAAGGAGTATGTAAAATTGATATAACGTCGATTACGTCACAGACGTATCGCAGCATTCGAGTTAAGGTCAGAGCAAAAAATAATTCATTTTCGAAAAAAAAGGAAATCTCTTAGGAATTTCACCGGGGAAGGGAGCAGCGTCGTGATGAAATTTATCGATTTCCGGGAAAAGGCAGTAAGTGCGTTATCGTGCGTGTAATCGGCTCGCTGGCCACGCACGTTGCGTCGCTGTTTGGTCGCGGCGTAAGTAGCCGAGTGCGTAACGTGCGAGGGTCACTTGCGCAGCTCTTTGCACGTGTATAACAATTGTATTTTTTTTTGTGTACTTCTGTTTCACGCTTGTATCCTAAGGGTCAGGACTGCCGTGAATGGTGATAAAAGATACCGACTACGACGCGCGATGGATTCACTACCACAGGTGGAGTAACGCTCGACATTTTTTTGGACACATTGTATACCGATGCGTTGGAATAAATTGAAAATTAAAAAATGCGCAATTCGAGCACCGCTGGAGATCTATATGAAAAGCAATGACGGATAAATTGTCATGATAAAATATCGTCGCATCTCTATCTCCCTCTAACAACCTCCTCTCTTTCTCTCTTTAACTCTTCAGGTTCTATATTGTCAGTAAACCCGTGTTACGTTTGGCAACGTGACTTCGCTGTAGTCCAGGTATCAAACGCTTGTTTGCTAACAGTATCAATTTCGGTATATACGACGTACAATTTATCGTTCTCGTTCCGTTGGCCCAGTAGCCATTAGCGTTTCGTATTGAGTGAAAATATATAGGGTGGCCAGCGTCAACTATTAAACGTTGTGCTCTTACATTATTCACAGAAGCTATTTAACCGAAGTAAAATTGGCTTTGAGTACGTTGGGCAGGTAGGTGGGATCGGTGAGAGTGGTGAAACAGGTTACTTTGTTAACAATATTGACCTTGGACATCCGAGGCCAATCGCTGATAATGGATTATTCTTGATGAAGTCCTTTGTTAATGATACCCCTTAAAATCGATGCTTCTGAATATGGTTGCGTTCGTTGAACCGATTTTTTCGTGATTTTTGTAATCTTGTCGCGCATTATCTATATATATATATATTTAACCACACACGTGTCATATATGTTGGGGATGATTTTTGCGTCGCCATTGTTTCGATTGTCGCGAGGGACTGGAATTCGTCGCGATCATATTTTATTGTCGTAATCGAAATCTTGGTGTACAGCGGTCGCTTGGATGATAATCGTAACCCAATTAACTACCTATTCGGTCGACGTTGGAAATTTCCACCAATTGCCATTCAATTCACCAATCATAGAAAGCCGAATGAGATTCCAGCCTTCCAGTTCTCTGTATCAGGTGACGTTGTTACTGTTGTTCAGCTTGTAGCCCAGATTCTTCCTCTGAAGGAAGAGATGAATCTCACGGAAATTCGGCCGGTCCACGTCGTTCCTCTGCCAGCACTCGCACATCAGGTCGTACATCTCCTTGGGACAGTTTTTGGGAAGCGGGAGAATCATCTGAAAGCATAGGTTGCATACCTGTCCGTGAAGAAGCGCTTGCAGCATCGGCTGGATATGCATTTTTTTAAACCTCAGTAACTTTTATCATACGAAAAAAAAGTTTTTGAGTGGATTTCAAAAATTTTCATATAACCAAATTTCCACTCACTCTTTTCTCATCTTCCTGGTAAAAGTGCGTGGAGTTCTCGACTATTCGATGATCCGGCAATTCCTCGAATGGCTGCTCTCTGGCGAAGGTGAGTATCTCCCAGAAGGTCACAGCGAAGGACCACACGTCGCTTTTGGATGTGTACTTTCCCTGAATTCATGCGAGATATCAGTCAATCATATTTTCGGGAATTGGCACCGGAAGTAATCGCGGATATATCGGCAAAAATATGACAAGTGGTATACTTCTTGTCATATTTTTTTACAAATGTCATTTCTAAAATTTTTTTTCTTTTTTTTTTTTCAAAGCTTTGACAAGCCTTGCGCTGTGTATTTCCCTCTTGAGCACATGCCATTTGACGTCGGATCGATCACTCTTGTTGGAGCGACCACGCGAATTTTTATGCAAATCCACCGGTGGCTGCAGCGTTTGCCGAATAATCGAAGGAACATTCATCGACCCAGGTCGGCGAGTTTTTCGCGGATATGAGCATCAAATGAAATTACGAATGACAATTCAAAGGAAATCACTATCGGTCTACATATTTTCATGAAAGTCATTCGATTTTTTTCAGGCTGAATAAATTTGGTATACTCATGGGTTTGCGTTTTGAGGGAAATTAAAAAAAAAAGTATACTCGATTATTTTGACAGATGAAATAAATAAAAATATAAAACGTCTATTTAGATAATACAATCGAGAAAATATTATCGCGCACTTGCGACACGAAAGTGTCTTAATTGACGCATTTATGGCTACGTGCATGTCCACTTTTCGTAAAGTTCTTTAGTAAGTTAAACTGCAGTTCGTGAGGCGATTCAACGTGGTTACGAAACGCTTCAAAACTTAGCCGTACAGTTTACGCGCATCGCGCATGCGTAAGATTTCATCCGAAAGCAAAACATACGGAAGGTGAAATAGAATTTTAATACCAATGATATTTTACGGGTATTCTCGAAAGCATACAAAATATTGGTTGTATACCCCAGTAAATCGTATATGGAAGATTCTTTAATAAGTGACTCATATATACGGGGAAAGAATATTGGAGCGTCATTTTGTTTATATCTTCCTCATCATAAGAAGAGATAGGAAGCGACTGCTGGGTAAGAAAAAAAAAAATACTATTGAAAATGAATATCCGACAGCATCACACGGTTAAAGTATGAGCGGACAGGGACTTGTTTAAAGATGAGAGGAATTTGACGAAAAGAGGAAATACTCGTAGGCACGAGGCGCTACGGAATTCCGGTCCGAGCTCATTAAATTGACATTCGGTGGTAATTTAAAGTAATTGTCGAAGCGGTATTTTGCGTGCACAAGCAAATGCGTTTCATTAGTAGGGCATAATGGCGGGGGCCCTGGTAAATAATGGGCCATAATGAAACATTAATGACGTAGTCAATTTGAAACAACTATGCAAATGTATGCTAAATGTTATATTTCATTTTGCTATCACGTTGCATTGAAAATCGGTTACGTAAGGCGACTGTTTAACTCGTTATAGGAAACATGAAAATGATGTCCGTAAGGGGCGCGCGGGGCTACCCTGATTTATCTCCTGTTAAAATGCCCTTTCGATTCGAGCGAAACATTTGAAAACAATGTGGACGACGCATTAATGACGCATATATACTTTCTCTCATTATCGCCGTGCTAACGAGCACTCGTGCGTTAGGCTCGTTAGTGGAAGTCAAAGTCAATGGAAAATATCCAGATATCAAATTCTCGTTAAGGGATGATCGGAAAGCTTCCAATGAATGGGGACGGAACGACAGTGCCGATTTATTGAGAAGAATTGCCATTTAGCTAGCGTGAGATCGTTTTTCATATTTGTTGCGGTCCAAAAGTGGAATCCTGTGCGCATGCGCAGAACACTCGTTCTATCCAATGCAAAGATAAACAGCCACTGCGATCAGTACGCGGAAACACACCTGACGAAATATTCGGCATATTTTCGATCGTCGATATCGCTACGTACTGAAATAAAATGCTCAAAAGCAAATCCGAGGTACGAGAATAAAATGCGCGCGTGAATATGTGTAGTATAAAATTGAATAAAATCAAATTTGACATACGAAAATCCTTTAAAGTAATGCATGCTTCCATTTTTTTTTTAAATTTTCCCCAGTAATAAAAGTCTGTTATATATTCTGTTATATATATATATATCTTATATGCTTATCCAGTTGGTGCTTTTCTGTGTGTGTGTATGAGAACTCACCATGAGCATCGATTCCCAAGCCATCCAACGTATCGGTAAAGGCGATCGTCCTTCGATCCTGAAATAATCGGCAGCGTACGCGTTTCTTCCTGGACCGAGATCTGATACCTTAACTGTGTAGCCTCGACTCACCAGGCAATTCCTGAAAGAATTCTCATTTTTATTATTATCATTGTATTAAAGAAAACGTCGGGCTATATACTTGACGATATATATGGTTAAAACGTAAAATCGCGATAAAACGCGGAATTTCGCAATCGGATTATTTGGAATTCAATTGGCTTTAGCGTACGTGAATTTTTCGGAGCGATATTCTTTTATCGGCTTGCTCCTGGCTTATAGAGTCCTTGACGATTTACGAGAAATCTCGATGACAATAAAGGAATCCGTGATTTTTCCCGGATGAGAAAGGGTTTCTCTGCCCGACAGTAGGAAGGCACGAATGGAATAGGAGAAAAAACAGGCTCAGGAAGATGCAGGCTGCGTTTTGAATGAAGGAAATTTACCGGTGGTAGAACATTTCCCGGTGGAGTTCCCGAGACAACGGAAGCAACTCGTCTCGTCCTCGTTCTTCTCCTCTTCGGCAGGGACGGCAGGTACTTTATTTCCGACTGGGTGAAAGTTTTCACACGAAGGACACCGTCGGAGATGGGATTCATCCGATCCTCGGATACTTGAATTCTCCGTTGTCAAGTTGGCGAACAGAAGACGCAGGGCGAGTTCACGTATAAAAACGATTGCCAAAGTACGCAGGCTTGCCTCAATTTATCCCTCTTTCTTCAACTTATTTCAAATTCGACCCGACGTCGCGTCGCGGCTCGACGCCGAGATCGTGACGACTTTGTGAGATGACGTCAGAGACGAGGACATTTCGCACGCGCACGTGTATATGTATATATATACAACAAGGGATAAACCAGTTGAACGGGGATTGTTGAAAAGTTAAGAAAAATGAGGACGAACGTTTGAACCCGTAGTTGTTAAAATTACTTGAAAATAAAAAAAAAATGTCGAAAAACCCTCAACATTAGCAGGCCAATGAAAATATCGTTACGTTGAGAATGGTGGATTCATTGGTGTCCATGGGGGGTCGGCAGGTCTGCCTCTGGCCATTGAGCCAGCAATACATAGCCACCGTTGGCCTAAATTCGTTTCTATAAATCACGACAATTAATTTTCGCACTGGCGTTAATGTAGCAGTACACCGAAGGGTATTATAATTAAGGTTTATGATTAGAGTTAATAATTCGAACACGTGCCTCCATTAAATGGTAGCGCGTCGCGCCATATTGGCCATTGGGTGTTTCGCTGCCGGGAGCAGCAAGGCCACGAGAGCAGGGGGAGTATCGTGGCACCCTGCAGGGGGTGTTTTCAAGGGAGTCATGGCTAAGAGATGAAGGGTGTTAGGGGTTCCCGTACCGAGAGTGGGAGTGTCAGGGTGTTAGGTCGGTATAGTAAGAAGAGAGAGGCGGATGGGCGATAGGAGTGCCAGAGGGCGAGAGGCGATAAAACAATGGACTGCTCTAATAAAGCGATCTCGGTGCCCGCGCCTAAACGCACCAGCCATTCCTCATACCGGTTAATCAACGCGACGTTTCGCTCCACGCTTCCAAAGTCATTTTACGCCTCGTAAATTATTCGGAAAACTCCCTTGCGAAAGGGTTACTATACTTGGTGGGGGAAGGGGGCTTGCTTACCTTGTGGCGAGGTCCCTATGAACGTAGTCCATTTCTTCCAGATACTTCATGCCCGATGCTATTTGCGTCGCCATGTAAATCAGGGCACCGAAGCTGCAAGCACAGTATCAGAAAGAAGCCAACGTGAAGATTATTCCATTTAAAAATCTCCTAATCTTATTCGCGTAGCTCGCGCGGTGGCACGTGGAAATTATTGAAGCGCGGATAAAACCGTCTTCGATAATATTTGCATCGTCGACGAGCAGTGCGCAAGCGCAGTATATAGTAAGTTAGTGGAATATGGGGATAAAATGTTCCCCCAGAATCCGGTACGTATTCGTTATGGGCTTCTGCTGGAATGTGAATTGCGGCCCGTTTCAAAGGCATATGCATATTATAACGTACGCGTGGCCCTCTCTTCTTGGCTCCAAAAGATTGATTTCACCCGCTTGAATTAAAGCCGTCCGGAGGAAAATGTCACGACATTTATAATGTTGGCAATCTGGTTATTGGATTCCGTCCTGAGCTACGTTCACCCGGCCGCACGTTGACTGACGGCCCTTAAGTAATGCGTTACCGTTTGCGAGATATTCTCCTGGCAAAACTCATGGAAACGTTGGTAACGTTGCAGGGTAAAAGCCTGCTGCCTCCTACAAACCCCCAAAGAGCCAGACTAAACCCATATCAGCGCCCAGTCAAGAGTTACTACCCTTACTTTTTTTTTTTCCTCTTGACGTTCGAAAAGAATTGTCCCAGGTTATTGTATAGTTTCAGCTATACGTGTACGCTGTTCCTGTTTCTTCGCCTTATGTACCTATTACATAACGTAACTGTGCACATAATGGGGCTAGCTGTACCTCAGGGTTTTTGCGGTGTGCACTGTTGACGTTTCGGCAATGTGACTCTGAAGATATTGATTCAAATCCCCGTACTCTCCGTTCTCCAGTACAATGCACATGGGATCATCTTCCAGGCTGGCACCGAGTAACCGCGCGACATTCCGATCTGCGAGTCGCGCCAGCCTTTTTGCTTCCTGTTGAAATTCCATCCTGAAATATACGTAGCATTCAAAAGTAATATCTTTGCAGGTTTACCTTCGCTTGTGATATCGAGCGGAACTCCTATAGAAATATATATGTATATCAATTGAATGTATATATGTATACTCTCGTCAAGAAGCATTCCTGCGTCCCAAGAAGGGCTTCCTAGTAGCTGGATAAAAATTCGATACTCGTTTTATCCTATCTACCCTGTCGCTTTTAGAATCCAGACATAACCTCTGCCGGTCACGGCTTGACCAGCTTATTTGATCCAGGATCAAGTTTCACGAAGGGATTGGTTAAATCTGTTTTATTTCAATTTATTACCTAGTCATTACCCTTACTGCGTACAGACTGCAATTGCTGGTAAAAACGTGATCAGCCAGATTAATGGATTGTGCCAAGTTTAATGTGAGCGCGTGGTGTAACAATGACTCATGTTCCAGGCTCTCCTAAGGGGATAAGGGACGTCACGAGGCAGTGCGACTCTTGGGAATCCTCGCAGCACAGCCCTGCCAGCAGCTTTGCTAACCTGAGTGTCTCGGAGGATCCAGGGCGCAAAGATTTGACGATGACCAGGTCGCTGTCCGTGTTCCTGAAGATTTCATCGTAACCAGGAAACCTGTCGACCTCGCACAGATGTGTGTCCCCGAAGTGTCCACTCCCAAGGCTCTCGACGATATTCAGCCTCTCACGTGGGAAGTCGAAGATACCTTCGTCGTCCTCCTCTTCAGTGAGCATGTCCTCCGGACTGTAGCTGGTTAGGCTGCTCGAGGCTTTCGCGCTCATGGGTGGTGGCGTACTGGCTGCTGGCGATGGGGGTAAGGGTGGTAGAGGGCTCTGTAACAGACGCGTTAAAGGCCATGGTAATTGGTCCGCTCGTTGTTCATGTCGGTTATGGCTGCAGCCATCCATACAGCTTCTCTTAGACCGAGGGATCCTGGGAATAAGGGTTGTCGTTATGGCTTTCCCAGGATATTTAGTATCGGCTAATTTCCGGAAAGCGCCACCTCTTTCTCTCTCGGATTAAGGTCGTTGTTGGTTACGAGACAAAGAAGAAAAAAAAGACTCTATTCGTCCAGGGGATAATTCTATTCCTGGATTATCTTGTTTACTCTCCGGGTGCTTCTTTCGATACGGATCAGAAAGCCTTCGAGCCCTCACTTAACTGTACACGTTTACCTTTCTCAGACTTACCTTGCAGATTTCCGTACTGGCGTAATACTTTTCAGGAGGCGGTGGTATCGGGGGTGGATTCGTCGGATACTCCTGCACCGGCGGAATTGGTCTCGTTAGATTAATTGCCGTGTTAAGCAGAAGCGGAATGATTGGCTGGGTCTCGGGAGATCCTATTCATAGACATAAAAAGTTACCAGTTACTTGTAGGGAAACTAATCTTTTAAATAGTTTATCTCCTTATTCACTGTATTAATCGAGGTATGGCAATTTAAGAGAAAAATAACTTATCCTCCGAGCAAGTTTTTCATATACAATCGATATACCAGCAACCGAAGTATTATTGTGTTCCTAATTAAATTTATTAATACGTACCGCTGTAGTTCAGAGTTGTTTTATGCAACTGAGGCGTAGTCGTCGTGTAACCCGCAAGATGATATTGCTGAGGAAGCGAAGGACAGATTGGTCCCTTATTCTCGTTCTCCTCTACGGACACCTAGCGAACATAAAGTAGATTATCGTTAATACGATAAAACCATGTAGATACATATTTTTTATTTTTAGAATTAAAGCGTCGATATTTGCTAGACATAAAATTAGCTATTTCATTAAAGTACCCTAAACGTTACAGCTACTCACATGATAAGCATACGTGTATATTTCATACACGAAAGGTCAAAGTGCACGATACGATTATTTCATCATACAAAATGTAAAAGGGTTTTGGTAAATTTCTCACACGCGTTTGAATCGTATTACGTCGCAGAACAATTAGCTTACCTAATTAAGTGACTTTAAACAACCTGTCCAACTTTAGCCAAGTGTCGTGTAACATTCTCAGACCCGGTCAATTTTGTCTCGTTACTTTTAATACAATAGAAAAGGTAAACGATGACTGACCCGCTATAAAATATAACCAACGCTCTGAATGCCCTGCCCCGTTGTATTCAGGAATGTTTTAAGTTACAATAGCTCCTCGTCGACACGCCATGTCAGCCTAATTGCCAGTTAACCGACCTGACGTTTAGGAAGTTCGCGAAAATTTTTAGCTCGAGGCATTCTTATTTCTGGCAACAACATTTTAACCATTAAAACGCTGATACCCGCGAGCTATTGAGACGCGCTATTGGACAGGGCTGAAAGTACGTTATGACGTTGAAGGTACTTTTCGTTTAAGAATCCAAGAGAGACGCGGTAGCCGAAATAATTTCCTCTAGACAGAACAGGAGGCATTGGAGGGAAGGTGGAGGATCGGGGGCTTGGGCTTTTTAACCCTCTGCACTGAATTCGTTATGCTCGTTTACTTTTACCTAATGCAACATAAAATCCAGAAGACCCGTAAAACTCGGTTTATTGGGTCGACGCAGCCGGAGCGCGGGGATACCACCCTTATCTCTCAACACTGCCACAGTTTATAGTTCTACTTAAGGGTAGGAGGGCCTCGATCAACCGACACCTTAGGAAATTAACATTTTTATAACAAACAATTTGCGCCCGAGAAGTGGTCCACCCTTCTCGTGCACCATTACGTTATGCCTGTATATATACAGCCCTGGCTGGTATTACCGATATATTCACTTGCCCGTTCCCTCTACCGATAAGAGACAAGGGGTGATTTCTGGACTCAAAATGAACCTCGAAGTCTACTCGCAGCCATTTCTGTTATGATATTATATCCATTGATTTTTGCTTTGGTACCTTCGAGACTGCTGGCAGGAGGAGTGTTAATTTCCGTTTAGGGAGCGTTAGGGAGCAGTAGCGAGATGCTGCAGCCCGTTTAGATAAGATAACCCACTTAGCCATCAGGATTCTACACGGGTCTTCGTCACCTCTAACCCCTGTTTTGCTCTCTTCTTGTTTCTCTATCATGTTTCTGCTCTCTCTCTCTTCATCATTTCTCCTGAATCATTTTCTCTCTTTCTCCTTCCTCTCTGATACTAGGTGTTACGTAGGTACCTAACGCTCAGTTCTTGGGCTTTATGGTTGTTGGCAAAGTCATATCTTTCGGTAACTCCGGTCGACGCAATAGAATTCAACGAGGCACATTAAATTTCTCAGGATTCTCTGCTCTGTTCTATCCCCTTCGATTATCCTAGCCGTGAACGGATAAATAAGTCGTCCCTGAGAAAAGGGTCCTTCGGGGTATCACTGGCTTTCCTCTTCGTACACCCTCTTCCGGAATAGGTGATTGCTTTATTGCTGTAGTGCCGGAAGGCTTCGGATGGTATCATAGGTCCTTTTTATATCTGTATATATGTATATACAGTGATGCCAAATGTCTGGACCAAAGGAGGCTGTAAATTAACGCGCAGAGCACCCGTGTCTTTGCTACTGAACGTTGAAGGTTACCGTTTCTCCTATTTTCGTAGTTGACTGTATTTAAATATTCTTAGAGCACGAAGTTCGGCAAGTTTTCAAACAGCACCGCCAGCGAGTTTGTAATCAATGACAAAGCTTGAAAGCTCATTAGCAGTTTCCGCTAGTTGCCGTGCGAGTAGTTTGGCTTGACTGGCAGTTCTAAACTGACGCGTAAAACGGAAGTCTGCTAGGTATATAGGAAACGGGAACGGTTCAGCTCAAACTAAATCGTTATTAATTCAAACAGACGAAACAACGTTCCACTAACAGTGGGTTGATGATCTCGTATAGGTACGGAGAACGATGAGTCTCGAAGTAATCCAAATATAGGGAGAATTGAAAGTTTGTATAATTTTTAAAAAATTTTCCTTTAACACGAAATATCATTCCCGGGAGAGATATCAATTTTGAGAATTTCGTTTATTCTATAAAATTATATCTCCCTATGCGTAAGAAAAAAACCGATATAGGTTTTAGTGTGAAAATTGTAAAAGATCATACAGAGAGACGACCTATAAGGGCTTATTGCTTTCAATTAATCTGTTTTCTCTTCGATATCTCTGTTGGTATCGAATATGCCTGTAGGACAAAGTGTATAATCAAATCGTACACGTTTTACGCATTCAGCATCCGTTATCTGCTCCTTGATCCCTTTCACGTACCTCAGACAGTATGTAAGCATACGTCTGCCTATAGAGAAGATGTAATATACACGTATATATTTATGTATTCAAACTATAACACTATATAGATATATACACAGACTGTTTCAGGAAGAAATAACAAATTTCATTTCCTTTCTCATTTCTCATATCAGAAAAGATAACCCAGCGATTGCCTGTACTCAGCTCCGTCCGTTACAAGGCAGACAAAAAGTTTTCGCAAATCACATGAGAACAGGTACGGGGATTAAGATACTCTTTGTATGAAAATCGAAAAGTCAATACGATTTGTGGTTTTCATCGATTACCAAGAGAAATCATCATATCAATTTGCACGGTGGAGCGATTCATGACTGCTTTGATGTTGAGGCTTGAACTTCCGGTATCATGACGTAGACGTAGAACTGGTACTCCCAGGGTCAGTACGATAAGGAAGGTATGGAGTACATGCGATGAAAAAACACTGCGAGGTACATAATACAAAATTTTATGGCAGAAAAATGGCAGTGAAGCAACATGAGTGAACGTCGGCTACCTGGAAGACGACGATGAGGTCGATAGGGGGTCAGTTCGCGGTAGTCGTTAGGGTGACAGTGAGACAAGTAGCAGGTGGCTAATGCGGGAAGTGTGGAGAGAGAGGTTCAACTAGGTATAGTAAACTAGGGTTGTTCAGACCCCCTCAACGAATGATGGTGATAGAGCACGTCGTCTAGCTACGCTGTAATACCTATTTCCGACGCTCCCTTTGGCTCTTGCCACTCTAATTAAGTGGAGTCAGCGCGCGACCCGGCCCGAGGAACCTCGAGACGCGAGAGCCAATAAAAAGATTTTAACAGGAATAATATTGGTTTCGATGGTGCTTATCGTCCTGGCAAGGAAGCCTTCGCCTCCTCCGGGCCGCTAGTCCAATCTTGTGAAAAACTTTGATCGACCATTTTCGCGAAACCTGGGGGACCCGGTAGAGCTCATGCGTTCTCTCCTCGTCTCTACGTTCTTTCCTTTATTTCCCTTCGTCCTTTACCTGCTTCCGTCTCTTTTCTTTTTTTATTTCTCCACCACCTTCTACCGTTCTTCCTTTCCTTCTTCTCTCTCTCGCTACCACTAGTCAACTGACTCGCATTAGGGAGGCCTCGTTACCTCGAGGGATCTCGATCGCGTCCGACCTAGTCTCGCTCGATCCCGTCACTTTTTGAGTGGCAGCTTCGCGTCTTGGGAAGAATTAAAAAGTTAAAAGGTTTCGAAAATCTCGAAGAGTGCTGCCGGTGAATTCTTTGCTTGGACTTTTTTTTCTTTAGCTTCTTTTCTCTTTATAAGCTCCCTCGCTTGTCTCGACCGCCTTGTCCGCTTTTCTGTGACTAGTTGAATGATGTTATCTCTGACAATGGAAATTGTACGACAAGAAATACAGAGGGCGAAGGAGCTTGCTTGATTGCGATACGGAGGCAGAGCGTAAACTGCAATATATCTATGCAGATCGATTCAGAGGAAGTGCTCTCGTTTGCTTTGAAAAATATTAACGTTACCACGTGTATATACGTAGAGCTAACTTGTACTATTAGTACGTCTGAGGGAAATTGTATAATATTACCGTCAATTAAAAATTTATAAAGACTTCAGTGAAATATCTCGACACTTTGATGCCCGTATTTACTGCTTCTCTTCTAGTTTTAATTATCCCTGCGGCGGTCCGGCATTCAGTGATATTACACTCGAGGATTAAATGGAATCTTACGAAAGGCATTAAATTCCATGGTTTTATTTTTAACGTCTAGAGATATCAAATGCACTTTGTCTCGTTATAAAGAGACGGCCGGGATAGTTTTTATGAACACTCGGGACATTTCACGAATGCCTGCATTTATCGGGGCTCACGAATTGAATGGGTATACATTTTTATAAATTAAATACCGATTTTCTTCTTTCAACCTGCATTGCCTGTACGGAACTTGCTAAATCGCTCGAATTTATATAACTGATGAAGTCTTATGAAATATTTAGAATGCCAATTCTTCCATTTTTAAATTCATCAATACGCCTGAGTTTAATCGGACACCTCACTAATTATTTTCTGCCAGCCGTCATTCTCGATAAAGACAATTTATAGTTTCGCAATATCCTATTTTAGCTGTGCAAGTTTTCAGTATACATTTATCAAATATTCTGTCTATTTACCACATGGCTTTAAACGTCTCGACGCCGAAGTATACATATATAGATATAATGAACAACGTCTTCGATTTTAATTCCCACCAGAAAATTGGCTTAGATTCATATTTTCTTTAGGAAACCATTGGCGTACCCGACCAATATAAAATCGCACTAAGTCAATATAAGTCGTCATGTAAGAACAGGGCGGCGCGTTAAAAATGCGAAGCACATTGACGATAGCGCGATAAAAAGATTTCGTTTGATTTTTCGATATTTTTCAAGAAGCGGAAGTCTGAGGCAAACCACTTGAAAGCTGGTGAACGGTCGAGCACACGAGAATGGAATGGAGTTAGTATTCCTTTGTCGTCCTTTCCTTACGGAAGAGGAGAGTGGGATGATTTCTCCTGGTGGTGGGTAACGTCGTCCTCGGATCGGACTTGGCTGATAAATAAATAAAAGGATCCGGGAAAGGACAAAAATAAAAAAAAAATTCCAGGACGTTTCCCAGAACTGGATACCACAATGGCAGTTTCCAGGTACGTGGAAACCGTGATGTACTACGCATCTGGGAAAAGATATGCTTTAGTGCGCCATGGCAATTGGTAGGTTGCATTATACGTGCAGCCGTCCAATCGCGTCCGGTTGGACACTGGCGTCCCGGTAATCCCCCAGCACCCCTTGGGGTTTTATTTCCAGCCATGCGTCCCGACGCTCTCGACAACCGCCATTGAAGACGCCTCGGCGTCTCGAATCTCAGAAAAATAAATCTTACCTTCAGATCTCCGTGTTGGTCGTAAAAGGTGGGCGCCGTCAGGGTAGTCTTAAGCCTTCTGCTCCTGTAGAAGATGAACGTGATGGCCGCGAGTAGCATCACGATGACGGTCGTCAGTATCCCTATCACTAGACCAATGAACTGTCTGGATTCTGGCTCCTTGCTCTTGTCAGGGACTGAAATATCGACGGAATAAGAGCTTAATTCGATAAAGGGTCGTACACACGTCTGTACGTAGCTACTTTCAGGGATATTTTCAGTATGGAAATTACACTGTGTATACCCTTTTAGATTTATGCATATACGGAGTGTGTGGGTTACGATGCACAAAACATTGAATATTTTTTTATTGTGCATCGATGTATGTATTATTGTTGTTCGCTTCATTTTTTTTTTCGCAAATAAAATAAATTATCTTTGCCATTTCAAGTGATATGGACAAAAGTCAAATGCATTAGGCATACAGCATGAAAGGAGAATAGAGATTAAAATTAAAAGTTTTTATGACGTAATCTGATACCTAAAACATATAAACTGTTCAAATTAGCCGCCAAGTCTAGCAGTGCTCGATACACATAGGCACGATTCGCAATAATTAATGAAGTGCACCACGGTATGTGGTGTCTTATACCCAGGAACATCTAAACGTCTCGGTCGGTCACCCGTTCGATGAACCGTTTACAGGATCTCGACTTCAAAGACCCATTTGTGACGATCACACTAATTCGTATCGTGCCACTTTGTGCAATTTTGTGCAATTTTGTGCAATTTTGTGCAATTCTATGTATGCATAACCTATGGATGAAAGGTGTTACGAAGTATGCGTGTGATAATTTAGGATTGTTATAACAATTCTACGTTACTAATTAATTATTAATTCGCGATGCATGTCGTGAATTTTGTAATTTCTGACTTGTCCCTCGTTGCCCCTATCTTTTAATATTTCTCAGTGTTTTGCATCTTTATATTCGTTAACGATAATGTATAGTTTTTTAAAAAATTTTATAGCACACAACGAATAGCATACGTAATAAGGAGATATTTGAGTTCGAAATTTGGTAACTTCTTGACAGATTTCCAATACTGGCCTCCCGCCTTAGCTTCGTGCTGCACCCTCACGCCGAACATGCGATTCGTCATTGTTTTAAGGTCCGCGTTCAGTCAGACGCAAACCCGTACACGTTTCGTAAAACGTATTGCAATGCTATATTTTGAATTATATGTTGTAAGTTTATATATTTCATTTTGCATTCTACGTATCCCTCGCGATTTTGGAGTCTACGGGAGTTTTTTGGATTTTTAGTGTTCCTGGTGCATTTGCAGCCGTACGCGCTCCTGGTCGCAGCCATTCCAGTCTAAGTAGCCTTAGTATCCTATATAGCCTTACAGCTTATACTAAAGAAAAATAACATTGGACTATGTAATACCCACCGTGTTACGGGTTTGCGTCCGACTGAACGCGTACCTCAAAACAATTACGAATCGCATGTTCGGCGTGAAGCTGCTGCACGTAACTAATTGTAAAGCAAGTATATATTATATTCCGTTAGTATCGGAATTCTGTCAAAAACTTTGGAAATTTCGAATGCAAATATCTCACATATTATTTATGCTACCAGCGTGAACTTTTCTTTAAGCTCCATTCTTTTTTCATGCTCAAAGATAATTGCGTTTAACTTTTTTCAATATCACTTAAAATGGCAAAGCTAATGTGTTTAATTCGCGAAATGAATTTAAACTAACAATAATCGATGCGCAAATAAAATTATTCGTCGGTTGTCACATCAGATTTTCGAAATCGTGCAACCTTTCACCGCGAACCGGAAACGTGCTCCATAGCTGATATACCATGTGTGCATGTGTTTATATAATATATATATGAAGGGTCGAATAAGTGACGATTGCGTTGGTCGCGAAGTAACTAGTGAGCAGGTAAGTCTGGACACTTTGAATCAGCATCCCCGCAGGAACGTATAGCAATGGTTACACAGGGGTGGCATGGGGTCAGCTAGGAGAAGGATAAAAGGGCAGTCGTGCAAATGCCATTACGGTACAACGGAACAGAGTTGTCGGGCTCTCTTTTCAAAGCACTGTGTGTCGTTTGCGTTTCGCATGAGTATTTCGCAGTAGGAGCGTTGCGCAATATACATATATACATATATATACATATATACACAGACGCACGCAAGCACAAATGAATGTTTCTGCCCTCTGTCTCGAGGGGTTGTCAGTTCTAGCCAATGATCGTAAATGAGAGAATATAATATTTTTATTCGAGATTCACGTGACAAATGCAAAGGACTCCAGCGTTATTCGTAAGTCGTTCTTTTGTATAGCGCGCATATGACAACGTGAAAGCTTTATTCTTTCGTTTCCCTGAGATAGAGCGTCTCGACGTTATGACGTCATGACATCGCTAAGGGTACCCGCCTGACAATTTGACAAATTCCTAAGAATTCTATCGCCTACCGAGTTTTCTATGCTTTCAACTTCCATGTAAATCCCAACCATGTTGCTCAGAACTTTACTATCGTCCCTTATTCGCACATACACTCGTGATAATATTTTTCATTTTCTCTAATAACAAGCCTTCATTTGGATGCTCACTTTGCTGTGGTATTACAGTGGCTATAATGATGTCTCATTTGTCCAGGCTTTTTTTATAAGACTGGATGATTTCTCTTGAGATTTCTTATGATATCCCTTTACGTTGCAATGTAATTAACGTTCTTTGTTCCTCGTGACACGACTGTGATAAGAATTTCAACGATTTTCTTTGACAATGACTCGTTTGCCATATAGATGAATGGGTATATTTCAATGTGTACGGATAAATCTGTACAGGAAAATAAATTATATCAGTAGAACTCTATTCCCCATAATCATTAAGCTTTTCTATTCATTGTCAAAGAATACGTAATAGAGTAAAAAAGCAAGGTCTGAACTTACAGACGTTATCGTTATTTTCTTCCTTATTAAAAGTAGCCTTCACTTCATCCCTCTGTAGTGGACCCTCGTTATTCTGATAGGGACTCCCAGTAGCCAGGACAATGGTACTTCTGTTTTTGTTCTCCTCCTCGTCGGTGTTGTTCCATTCGGAAATAACTGCGTGCAAAGAGAATCTTGCGTCAGAAATAGGCCTGCGGTTTTTTCTCGCACGGCTATCGGGGACAATGAAAGTCACTCTTTTTAAGCTCGTCGAGCTTACCAAACGCCATCCTCGAGACACTTATCGTCGTGGCGCGACGCGAAAAGCACACGGCAGCGAAGAGGGTGGATTTGGAAATTTTAAAGCTTCTCCAGACGTACCGCCCCTCGTAAGATGTACAGTGTATATGATGTTCACGGGTATATAGAGGGCGGTGAATAATGACGTGAGGTAAAGAGCTGTGGATTTTTGTTTTCTTTATTAAAGGTAAAATTAGAAAGAACGCGAATATGCCTTTTTTTAATTTCTCGTGCAAAATTGATTGTGTACTTCTAATGACGGTATACAACTCGATTGTCAACAGTAACGGGACGACGCTGTGATTTCTTATCGATGACGCGGTTCACTGAAGCATTTGAACGTCGAGCTTGCCACGGTAGCAAGGATGGAGTCTGTTCCTGTAGGAGGCCGTCAGCTCGAGGTAGCGTGCAAGCGCAACGAAGCTCGTGAGGGGCTCGCGAATGATTAACGACACCCGGAGCAGTCAACAAGTCGAGCTTTATCCCTTGCAAAGCTAGCGCGAGCTGTCAATAAGTTTAGTCGAGTTAGAGGGGGTGGATTGGTGGTGGTTCTTGCTGTGGCCAGTTCCTTCCTTATGACGCTGCCGTTGAAAGTCTGAAGGGACGATGGAGACTCTGGCAAAATATTTCTTGTCGATGGTTCACGAGCAGGTCGGGACATTGTTGTGCCATGTACGAGCGCAGGCATTTTTTTACAATTCCATAAGCAATGTACTGGAATCGTAATGTTATTTTGTTAGTAACGTTTCTATTTACCTGATTCAAATATAACCTCGCTGAGCATGATCCAGCGTGCTGCAAAGTACAGCTGTAGCTTTAAGTAACGCCCGGCACGTGAATGGAGCTTTATCGTGACATCACGTGCTTGTTCCAGAACCAAATCAGGCATATAGGAAAAATGGACAGGTTCTCCGTTGAACTGATTGGCAACGATGCTCAGGTAGACTTTTGCGTGGGAGAATACCTGGACGACAGATGGAAAAATAAATTATTGGCAATAGCATTTGTGTTATTGACATAATTCAATTATAAATTACCTGCACGTCCTTAGTGAAGAAATTATTGGTGTGCAGGTGCATCGCTGTGAAATTTCTTGAGTAGTCGAATTCAAAGGTTATTTCCACTGGACGACCAAGCATGCTGGGCGTATCGTTTCTCCAGCCTACCCACTCGTAACCTTAAAGAGAAGGATAACGACGAAGCTTTAGCGTTGAGCAAATAAAAGTATAAAGCTCAGGTTTTCGTGCGGCAACGTATACAAGGATATAACATCGCGAGGAGGCATGTATACAGTAAATCACGCAATAACGAAGACAATGGAATTCAACAATGCTTTCATTAAAGCAATTCTACGTGGATTCTCAGTGGTCGTTTCATGGGAACTCTCGCAGTGTGAAACTCCGAAACTAGTGGAATTTTAAAACCTCAGACCAATAACTTTAGGATCGTAGGGTTATTAAAATCATAAGCGTAATTTATGTTCGGATTGTCTAGTTGCATTTGTGGAATACACACTTGGCCTCTTATCATACTGTTCGCCCGGTATTTCTATATCTGTGACCCTAGCACCTACCTCTACCGTGCAATCGTCTGTCCTATTATTTTACTATCCATCTATTTCTATATGATCCTCTTAACGTTCTACATTTTCAGTGCATTATGTTCAATCTTGAGAAAAAATTCTAAAAGTAGCTCGCGAACTGCAATTGTTTTGTAAATAGACAGATTTTTATTTTTAACATGCCTATAAAATTTTTAATTGACTTTTGAAAAATTGACTGTACTAACTGTATGTGTGTTTCGTCAGCAGTTTAGTGGACGTTACCTCACTCAAAAGTTTTTTACGAAATATCTAAGAGGGGCATACGAAAAATAGAGGGTCGGTAACACCGTGCTGGAAAGGATCAGTCAAGTTAAGAGTCTGAAAAGTCATTAAAAGTTGGAAATGTTTCGATCCTCCTGTTCCTGTGGGGTGGCTGAGCTTCTGTATTCTTTGATAGGTTAGGATGTCGTTTGGGATATTTTTGATAGTAGCTTTGAAGTAGGGTTCTCCGATTTTTTTTTTTTATAACGAAGCATCATCTGTTTTATACCTGCCATTTCATCCTGACCTATATAATTCTCCTTGAGATTATGTTAATTTTGTCGCTTGAGTAAATACTTTGCAATTTGCAGCTGATACTAGATATAGCTGTATATAGATATACGTAACAGGTTTGATACTTGTTCGGAAAGCACTTTGCAAAGTAACCGCTATTTCCTTTGCTTTACAGTTCATTACTGTCGTATCTCAAAATTCTTTATGTCAGCAACTTTTTTTTTTAATATTACAAAGAAAGGATTGAAAGACAATAATATTATTAAAAACCACAAACAAAACAATTTTGTGTCTTCCTCGTACAACAGATAAATTTTGATCAAAGACGGAAAAATGTATTATCAGATTCCATACAGATTCTTATATAAGGTAAAATATCATATATTAAGATATCCTACTCTCGAAATATTACGTTACAATGCCCATTCTAGAATATCTCAGTATTACGTTGAATAAAATTTTCCAATTGTGCTATTTTCAAATATAGAAAATATCTGAATTCGTTTCGTCACGTATATTGCGAAAACTGTTTCAAGAAAAGAATCGTTGATATTCATCAATTTCGTGTTCAAACAATCTCAATTAACCATATAAATTACGACACTTATTTCTACTGTATCGAGTTAAGTACTTGGTGATTTCCTTAACAATGTTACCGCATAGTATATTGGAAACTAGATTTAACGACATAAAAGCTCGTTCAGAACAAAACGTACGAGTTTAGTAGTTTCAAAGCATTTAAGCCAACCCTAGTAGATATTCAGTGTACAGGTGTTCCCTTTTGTGCTTAAACCGTTAAAAACAAGTCCGCCGCACGAGTGGGTTACTCGTAAACGGAAAGACATAAACGTATCAGGCATCCCCGGGTAAACAGAAGCACAGCTTGAACTAGGCTTGCGGTTCAATATAAATGTAAATCTGAACGGATTCGAGTGTAGCGAGACTGTTTGCGCAAAGCTTCGCCGAGTCCGAGTGAATATCCTTGTGATCCAAGAAATGCGCCTGTGCTTCAAGTATTATTGATTTTACAAAAATAACCTAGATTTGGTGAGCATACATTTTTTATAGAAATTTTTAAGTAAACTATTCACATGGAATTCTCACCTTTTCCATTGCCGTTCACATCCAGCCGAAAATTATCCGAGCCCTTCTGCCCATCAACCAGCTGTCCCAGTCCCCCGGAGAGATAACCTGCTTCTTCCTTGCCATCGTACGTCCTGTCGGAGAGGTCAACTTCTGAGCCACGTTGGATTCCTTGAGTCATAGAATAGGATACGAGGCCCTCTGGAAACACGTACGCGGAAGTGAGTGTCTCATTGTGTTTTTGCGGAATCACGATAAATGGTTCGGACGTGATACGTTTAAATTTTTATAGAAGTCACACGAGCTCGTGGACGTTCGAGCGTCCATTAGCCATTTGTCGGATTAGCGGGAGTGTCTACTAGCGAAAAAAAAAAAAAAAAAAAAAAAACCGATGTCGAGACTAAAGAGAAAAAAAGGTAAACCATTGCTCGGTAGTACTATCGGTAAGTCTTGGATTACTGTGACGTTTTCGTTTTATACGGAATTATTATTATTGCAAGTTTTTAGCCCAGATTCAGGCGATTATCCGCGGAGGCTTTGAGGGGGTATTACGACAGAGTCCTCGAGAGTGGACAGTTCAAGCAACTGGTACGTTTACCACGGTGATTTCAATTCGGTATCTCTCGATTCCCTGCTTTACGTCTTTACGATTCCGAATTGCCTGGAACACGGTTATCCTTTTGAGAAATGAACGCAGACAAGATTTTACATATATATCTATAGTAAAGCTTTTCGAGGATCCTCAAGATGCGTAGAAATAGCGAAAAAATACACTTGACGCTTGGACCGTGAATTAACTGCTAATCGCGCGATCTCTCTGAAGCAGCTGACCTTTGCCTTACACGACTGTACCTCTCGCCACGCAGCTCGGAAATCCTTCGTTCTAATTTGTGCATATTAAGTGCTTCCCATATAAAAACTATTGCGAGTTTCGACAAATGCTTTGCGGAGGGTAGGAAGGAGCTCCAGGTACAGTCCATTTTCAGGTGTAAAGATAGTTCTGGGACACCCTGTATACTAGGCCCTAGGCAATTCTAATTCTGTAATTGGGCGACAGTGAATTCAACTAATTCTCTAAATCCCTCTTATTCTCTGACACTTTATCAGGCACCACCGCCACCACTCTCTGCGTCTATTACGTCGGATAGCAAGTTCTGCGAAGCAATTTCGAAAAGCGAGAACGAACAAAGGGAATGACTTCGCGACGACATGGCTGCAGTGACGTCGGCGTCTCGTGTGGATCGATGTAAATGAAAACTTGACTTTTTCACTTATAGGTTATAACGGTAAACCGAGTGTACGAAACCAAACGGCTAAGCATGCTATAGCTGCTAATTCGAATGTCGCATATGGCACGAAACCTGCATATACGTTTTAATAGTTATTTGGGCATATATAAATTCCGAATAACCCAGTATAATTTCGTAGAGAAATTCACGCTCCAGAGGCCGCTTATTCGAATGTCAACTAACTTCATTATCCCGTATACATTTTATTTAACGGATGTTACCATATAGGTACCCTATATATTCATGAACAGTCGCTTCATGGACCAATGGTGTGGTATCCAGTCAAAAGCACATATGGCTAAGTGGAAGGCACCTAATTCGGCGGACCATTTCGGACTGGATTAATGCAGACGCAGCTGTGCTATTGCCGACTATCATAAATCTAAGTTAATCTGAGACACGCGCGTGGCGGTAGACACGCTCGTCAAGAAAATAAAGGACGACGCGACTCGAGTGGAAAATCCCCCAGTTCGCTCAGCCAGACATTCGCTCTGCGCGTTGCGCCATATATACTTGCATTTGCGTTTACACGAGAATTCTGAAAGCACCGCGATCTTCATCTTGGCACAGAGAAAGGATAGCTTTCCGTATATCCATTCACAGTCTGAAGGGAGCTAGAGGAAAATTTAACCCGGGAAAAATAATTAATTTCAATAATTTCTTACTTACCGTTCCAGGCACAGCCGTATAACTCCACCCTCATGCAGACTGTACGCACGTGGGAGGTGTAAGGGATGAAACGTATTTTAGTAGCCACTATTGGCGGATCGAAGACCTGTTCCTTTTCCGTATAAGGGCTGTTGTTGCCAACGAGGAGCTACAAGCACAAAGATATCTCGTTGATGCACTTGAAAAACCATAAACATCACCATAAAATCTCAAGGGAGCGTTTTTCCCGCATTAAACTACCCCTTACGGGGTCGGGGGGGGGCGGGCTCTGTCGTGCCAATTTTATATAGGGTCGATTAGTCTAACCGTGTATACTGTGAACGGCGGCGAAAACCTTCTCTAAATGTAAATGCGAGTGTTAAATCAGGAAGGCAACATTGCCATGCTAAAATATCGTGTAAGTGCTTACAGAAACTTACGACTTTCCTGATATATCAATGGTAGTATATAAAAACAATTGCGACCCTGTGTGGAAATTGTGAATTTCGATAGGGGGGTAGAAATGTTCAATCTATATTTTACGGGTTGATTTTTACTATGGTTCGAAACAGCTGGTACGTAGTTATTGGCGATCCATAGATCACGGGACTGGATCAAAATTCACGATTCCGTCAGACGAACGACATTCCGCTCTACGAGCATCGCGAGGCGTTCGTTAGCTTGGCGGTCGGAGAAATGAAATATCCAGCGACCATCCGGACGTTTCGCTTGTTGCGCATCAGCCACTGAGTTTTGTTTGACGAAGGTAACGAAGCTAAATTGTTGACCGGTATCCGCACAGCGGCAGAGTCAGAGCGTTGTGCTTTGCTTTTGTACCACCGTGGGATATTGCGCGTCGGCTACGAAATTTCCTTCCCGGTGGAAGCATATTTTTCACTTGGTTTCTGCGGATCAAACGGTGGATTTTGCGAAACAAATGGAATCGTGCCGTTTCCATGCGCTGTTGGCCGACGCGATCGTTCATGTGTTTTCACCTTAGTAAAGGCTTTACGTATAATTGTCATACGCATTTTTCACGGTGGATATATTTATTTTTATAAAATTTTCAACCGTGCATGATTACTCGTGTGCCTGGTTCTCCTCGTATGTAGAAAAATTTATGTACGATTCACAGAAAGGGCAGGACGACCTTGCCGGGTACTTTGGTCAGTGAAGTATGTACGTATGCGCGTCACTGGCGGATACTATTACCAGCTGTAAATTGCACGTAAATGGAACGTGCCTCTTAAACTGGTATCGGATGGCTTGAAACAAGCACGGATGCGCTGCAACTGCAGGGGAACGCATACTGGAATACAACCCCGACCGGGTCTCCGGTACGCGATACGAATAATTAATACAGCCATAAACAAGAGCGCAGTGGGTACGCGATATCGCCCTACCGACACATAAAATTGATACCCAGCATGCAGAGCGGCGCTGTAGGCCGTTGGCAGCGCAGCTCTAAGGGTGGCCGGGGGGGGCGGGGTTAGGGGTTAGGGAGCGGGAATGGTACCGTTGAATGGCACTTCGAGCGCTGGGAATTTAAGGCTTACTCAATTTGAGAGGATATTTTGAAAATTTACCATGCCGAATGGCTACTCGCCTGACGAAGCTTTTCGAAAGAGAACTGCCGTTCGACCCCCCTTGGGGGATGAGGTTAACGCATTTCGAGTACCTGATAGAGGGTGAGTCTCGGGGGTTGGTTAAGAGATCGATGGGACCTGCACGAAATTACCCTTCGATTCACTCTATTGGTATCTTCTGTCTACCTTTATAGTCGTAGGTACATTGCAACCAGTTAAACGAGATTCCATGAAAAAAAAAAGAAGAAAATGTAAAATAACATGTTTCACGGTTTTATTATGTAAAAATAAAAATACTGACGGTTCCATTTCCCGGCGAGACTCCTTTATGAAAATATGCATATTTGCGTAAACACCCACGCCCTGGCAATTACTTTGCGCCCCGAGGCTGAAAAGTAGCGTCGTGTCTGATTTCTTCTGTCCTCAGAAATTGTACTTGCTCTTTACGCTAACGAACAAGTGCTAATTTAATGCTCTTTATGAAAAACTGTTATTAAAAGCGAGCATACTGTACAATACAAAAATTTCAAAATTTCATACGGTCCAAAGTTTCGACTGGATTTAAAATTGATGAGAGAATAAAGAAAAAAAAAAAATTCACGAAATATTTTGAATTTCTTGTTGGCTCTAACGAGAGCGGTAATATCGACGCATTTTCCCATGGAATCGTGCGCACAGAACCAACGTGAATTCCTCATCCATATACTGAACGCAGTCGACCGTACCAGTGGGGCGGAGAGGAAGGGGCAATGGAAAAGCCTGATAGTGAGGGAAACACGGTACGAGGCAGCCTCGTTGCTACTGTCGATGTGGCTGGTCCTGCTGCGCGACGAAAATCCGGAAAAACGAACGCGGAAAATTGTTTCCGCCTAGCGCGGTAATCCGCTAATAGCGTGTCCGCGTTCGATCCGTAATCTCCCGCTACAACGTATCTAGCTGACCCGAAATACGAATTTGGATCTTCGAGTGAATACTTTGCCGATCGATCGATCCTGAGATAGATCCTAGATCGCGTCCTAGATTCAAACCCTTTTCGTTGGCATTTATTTTGATACCTTATCAGGTACGATTAAAGCAGAGTATAGCCGTACGTTAAATTTGTAGGTTGGTACATTGAAACTTTACACCGTTGAAAAAAAAAATAAAAAAAAATAAAAGCTCAATAGCGTAAACCACGGTATACCTGGATACTATGTTGTAAGCGTACCTGGCTGACTATTAGCTTTATTGTTGGTAGGGCGTTAAAAATGTACCGTTCCATTATTCCCGCGACTGATCACGAAGGCTCGTATCTGGCCGGTACAGTTGCCGCTTGATTATACCTCGTAAAATGCTGTTTTCGTGTCTCCGCGCAGTACGCTATGTAATTCCAGAAGGTCCGTTGCCGCGGTTATCGTAATGGTATCTCGTAACGGGGGCTGACGGTGTTGGCGATTGTAGACGAAAAGAATCGCGGGAAGAAATATAAGGAGGGGGGGGCAGGGGGGGAGAGGGTACGTAGAAAAATGGCTGCAAAGAGAAAACGAAGGGAAAGAAAGTGTCCGTGAGAAGTAGGCTGATTGGCTCCTTCGATCGACTGTCTTCTCAGGTGATTGATTAAAATTCGATACGTCTCTTCCCCAGAAAGTTGTAAAAGAGCTTTTTGCCAGCTTCGATACTTTCCTCTCTACTGTACATACATATAGTTAAATTTTATTTAATAAATATACGATATGCACGCTTCCATATGAATATCAGGTATACCCCTTGCAATTTCAATGGAAATTACAAGCGGATACGTATGGACTTAACCAAATTACCGGAAAGTTAAACAGAGCACCGAACTCCTGGAGTTCGTGCCAAGTTCGCCGTCACTGTGTGACGACTCTATCGTACGTAGTCTAGTATGGGCCTTATACCTGTTTCCATGTTCCGAAGTTTGTTCGAGTTCGCGCTTGGTACCGGCCCGATCTCGACTTCGACTAAGTCCGATTTGACCGATCGCGTGGCGGGCTAACGATCGTGTTGCGCAATATGGCTTGGAGAAGTGTTTCACAATGAGATAGATAGAAAGTATGTAGGTTCGATAAAAAATGAAAATAAAGATTTTTGACGTTGGTACGTCTTAACGTTTCAATTAGCCCGAAATAACAGGATAGAGCGAAGTAAATCTGAAGCTTCGTATATGTATTTCGTCGTGTCGTACTACTAAGGTAATTTCTTGTGATGAAATTTTGCTGTATTACGGGTGACACAGTGACTAAATATTTTGTGAATACGTTTTCTTAAGATTATTTTAAGATTTGACGTATGACGTTTTTACGTGTATAACGCGTATTTGATTGATTGATATAAATATATGTATACGAAATACGTGAAAATATATTTGAATATTATGATTGTATTGTGCAATGCATACTATTCATTATTCTCGTAACTCCGTTCTGTGCGCTGTCGTCATTTGTAATCTTGAGCGAGTGTCATTTGGCGAGTGAAATACGCAAGTTTCCCTAGATGATCGTGTCTCAGCGGGGTTGACGGAAACCGAAGAGCACCACGTAGTGCTAGACGAGATTACGAAGACGAGTCTGACGAGTTGCCGAGTAACAAGTATAGGGGTAGGTTGGCTACGTTACTGGGTCCGTAGAAAGGCAGTAGATACGTGCTGTGTCCGCGTTAATGAAACACGTCCAACGTCGGCAATTGTACCGCCGCAGGCAACGGCGCTGGCCCCTTGTAAGGGGTTAGAGCCATGAGGAGTTAGACTCTGTATTGTATCTATCAGGGTGCGTCCTTGCCCCGCGTAGCGTCGCCGTCGCGTGAATTCAAATGAGCTGTTCGGCTTAACTCGGCCGTTTCTCCTATGAGACACCGTCTGTATTGTAGGAGTAAAGAAAAATTTCTATCTACTTACTACGAATTGTGACGTCTTTTGATTATATGATAATAGTGAAAAGGGGCGAGATGACAGCTGTCAAAAATCTGACAGGCACGTTTACGAGCTGTATATGCATAAAAATTGTTTCTTTTGGTTATTTCCTTGGCGCCACCTGATGCAGCCAAACTGCTGTCAGGGAAATGGCAGTGGAGAGGTCAGGTCACGTACGGCGCGCGATAACGTCGTCTTGCTGTATTCAAAGTGCAAGGGAAAAGGAAAAGGAAGCACGAAGATCACATGCTCCCAGATTGAGGCTGGGTAAACGTTCGCCTCCTCTTCATCCGTAGCATCCTCAACCTCATCCACGTACTACACGCGTCTCCCCTGTTCCCGCGCGCCAGCCAGCTCAGCTGCCACCCAGATTCTCTTGCTTTGAGCAAATCTGCGTGAAAACGTAGAGAGAGAGCGAGAGAACCGTCTGCTTCTACATGCAAGACTCTCTGGGCGACTATCTATAGGCGTCTAGACCATCTCGACGGGAGTGTCTCCTGTAACGAAGAACTTGGTCGTCTCCTGGAAGACTATTTTCCTAATAGCTATTTCCAGGAACGACGGCAGCTAACCCCTCTCAAGATAATCCAGGGGTATGATGGGACGAGAAAAGCTCCCTGCAATTCTATGGGACACATGAGAACTTTCCGATGAGGTTGTAAAGTCATTTTAACGCTATTTATTTCCCGTCTGCGAGAGAGGGCTGGGGCACGGCCCCTCGACGGAGGGTGGCAAATCGTGGGATGGACTGCGTCAATTAATTCGAGATTGCGGCTACGTCCGTTCACGCGTTTTACCCACTTAATCACGAATTCCCGGATTTACTACAATTATTGATTGACGTGTGACATCTGCCCTCGAAATGTTGCGGGTGCGTTTTCAACGTGGGGACACAGCGATGTATACTCGAAGAGAAGGAGAGAGACGAGCGGGGGGGGGGTGAGGGGGACGAAAGGGAGAATTACGTGGAGGATTACCAAGGGCAAAAAGGGAGATTATACAGGGTTATCGCCATAGATGAAATTTCAATATTCATCATTTCGAAAAAGAATTTTAAATACCATCGCGGCACGAAGGTATTGGGAATGACGTCACGCACTATTGAATCGGATAATAAATTCGTTTGATCGTCCGGTTATTAAAAATATTACAACGTACGAGCGCTCGTACGTAATTACGTTAATGGATGGGAAATTTCAATTTTACTCGTGCAACCTGTCGCGGCCGTAACGTCAGCCTTGAAGTAACGAGTAGACACGAGTTACGTGTACATCGAAGCACGACTGCTTCGTTGTTACTACGGTGAATCCTATGGAGAGCTAGAGAATTTACAAGGCACGAAGAATCCTTGGTAATCGCCTGGGGATTAATAATTAAAATTTTCAAAGCATCAAGTCGCGCGAAACCATCGGCATCGCCTTTATGTTGCACTGTGGCGCAGTGCTATGAGCGATGATTTAACGAGCGAGGTCTATTTTGATAGGCTAATGGATATTACGGATGGATTATCATACTAAAGAGACGATGATTAACACGTCATATCCCGTAATAGCCAGCCAGTTAGTCAGAGGTTCTCATGTGTAATCGTATGATTTTCGTTAACTGGACTCGACGAGACTCGCATACGAAATCCCAATAGACACAATAATAAAATCTCGAATCTCCGTAGGAAGATTAGGGTGATTGAGAGTGAAAAAAAAAATCTACGAAAAATAAAATAAACGCGACTGGACCAATGAAAATAATACAGGCTGAAATACGCGTTTAATGCAACGAGAAGGACGTAGAAATTATTCTGTAAAATTTATCACGTGATCATCGACGTCGAGACGCCGCATAGGAAAGACATTGATTAAAGAGATCACCGATTGACTTCCGGTCTGACTGCGAACGAGGAATTCAAAGCGCCATAAGCGTCGGCCTAGATGCGCGATCGAGCGTATTCGCTACCCAAGAGTAAAAAAGCCAAGAGCAGCCAGTCTACGGCGTCGGGACGCCGCGGTTATCCGTGACGGCGCGTCGAGGATGCTGGAGGAAATTTTAGCGAGAGCTCGCGAATCGGGCGGGCAGAGTAAAGAAAGTAGACGACAGGAAAAAGACAGAGGGAGAGGGACAGAGAGAGAGAGAGAGAGAGAGAGAGAGAGAGAGAGAGAGAGAGAGAGAGAGAGAGAG